AAGTGAATTTAGAATAATAGTCATAAAATTAATCACTGGGCTTGAAAACAGTATAAAGGACAGCAGAGAATCTCTTGCTACAGAGATCAAGGGACTAAGGAACAGCCAGGAGGAGCTAAAAAATGCTATCAATGAACTGCAAAATAATATGGAGACAACTATGGCTTGGATTGAAGAGGAAGAGGAAAGAATAGGTGAACTAGAAGATAAAATTATGGAAAAAGAAGAAGCTGAGAAAAAGAGAGATAAAAAAAATCCAGGAGTATGAGGGGAAAATTAGAGAACTAAGTGATGCACTAAAGAGAAATAATATATGCATAATTGGTATTCCAGAGGAGGAAGAGAGAGGGAAAGGTGCTGAAGGTGGACTTGAAGAAATAATAGCTGAGAACTTCCTGGATCTGGGGAAGGAAAAAGGCATTGAAATCCAAGAGTCACAGAGAACTCCCTTCAGACTTAACTTGAATCCATCTTCTGCACGACATATCATAGTGAAACTGGCAAAATACAAGGATAAAGAGAAAATTCTGAAAGCAGCTAGGGATAAACGTGCTCTAACATATAAAGGGAGACCTATAAGACTCGTGATGGATCTCTCTACTGAAACTTGGCAAGCCAGAAAGAAATGGCAGGAGATCTTCAATGTGATGAACAGAAAAAACATGCAGCTGAGAATCCTTTATCCAGCAAGTCTGTCATTTAGAATAGAAGGAGAGATAAAGGTCTTCCCAAACAAAAACTGAAGGAATTCGTCACCACTAAACCAGCCCTACAAGAGATCCTAAGGGGGACCCTTGAGACAAAGTACCAGAGTCATCGCTACAAGCATGAAACCTACGGATATCACAATGACTCTAAACCCATGTCTTTCTATAATCACACTGAATGTAAATGGACTAAATGCGCCAACCAAACGACATAGGGTATCAGAATGGATAAAAAAACAAGACCCATCTATTTGCTGTCTACAAGAGACTCATTTTAGACCTGAGGACACTTTCAGATTGTGAGGGGATGGAGAACTATTTATCATGCCACTGGAAGTCAAAAGAAAGCTGGAGTAGCCATACTTATATCAGACAAATTAGACTTTAAATTAAAGGCTGTAACAGGACATGAAGAAGGGCCTTATATAATAATCAGAGGGTCTATCCATCAGGAAGAGCTAACAATTATAAATGTCTATGCGCCGAATACCGGAGTGCCCAAATATATAAAACAATTACTCACAAACATAGCAACCTTATTGATAAGAATGTGGTAATTTCAGGGGACTTTAACACTCCACTTACAGAAATGGATATCATCTAGACACACAGTCAATAAAGAAACAAGGGCCCTGAATGATACATTGGATCAGATGGCCTTGACAGATATACTTAGAACTCTGCATCCCAAAGCAACAGAATATACTTTCTTCTTGAGTGCACATGGAACATTCTCGAAGATAGATCACATCCTGGGTCACAAAACAGCCCTTCACAAGTATACAAGAATTGAAATCATACCATGCATACTTTCAGACCACAATGCTATGAAGCTTGAAATCAACCACAGAAAAAAGTCTGGAAAAACTCCAAAAGCATGGAGGTTAAAGAACACCCTACTAACGAATGAGTGGGTCAACCAGGCAATTAGAGAAGAAATTAAAAAATATATGGAAACAAACGAAAATGAAAATACAACAATCCAAACGCTTTGGGACGCAGCAAAGGCAATCCTGAGAGGAAAATACATTGCAATCCAGGCCTATCTCAAGAAACAAGAAAAATCCCAAATACAAAATCTAACAGCACACCTAAAGGAAATAGAAGCAGAACAGCAAAGGCAGCCTAAACCCAGCAGAAGAAGAGAAATAATAAAGATCAGAGCAGAAATAAACAATATAGAATCTAAAAAAACTGTAGAGCAGATCAACGAAACCAAGAGTTGATTTTTTGAAAAAATAAAGAAAATTGATAAACCTCTAGCCAGGCTTCTCAAAAAGAAAAGGGAGATGACCCAGATAGATAAAATCATGAATGAAAATGGAATGATTACAACCAATCCCTCAGAGATACAATCAATTATCAGGGAATACTATGAAATTACATGTCAACAAACTGGACAACCTGGAAGAAATGGACAAATTCCTAAACACCCACACTCTTCCAAAACTCAATCAGGAGGAAATAGAAAGCTTGAACAGATCCATCACCAGCGAAGAAATTGTATCAGTCATCAAAAATGTCCCAAGAAATAAGAGTCCAGGACCAGATGGCTTCCCAGGGGAGTTCTACCAGACGTTTAAAGCAGAGATAATACCTATCCTTCTCAAGCTATTCCAAAAAATAGAAAGGGAAGGAAAACTTCCAGACTCATTCTATGAAGCCAGTATTACTTTGATTCCTAAACCAGACAGAGACCCAGTAAAAAAAAGAGAACTACAGGCCAATATCCCTGATGAATATGGATGCAAAAATTCTCAACAAGATACTAGCAAATCGAAGTCAACGCCATATAAAAAGAATTATTCACCATGATCAAGTGGGAGTCATTCCTGGGATGCAGGGCTGGTTCAACATTCGCAAATCAATCAACGTGATACTTGACATTAATAAAAGAAAAGATAAGAACCATATGATCCTGTCAATCGATGCAGAAAAGGCCTTTGACAAAATTCAGCAACTTTTCTTAATAAAAATCCTCGAGAAAGTCGGGATAGAAGGAACATAGTTAAAGATCATAAAAGCCATTTCTGAAAAGCCCACAGCTAACATCATCCTCAATGGGGAAAAACTGAGAGCTTTTTCCCTGAGATCAGGAACACGACAGGGATGTCCACTCTCACCGCTGTTTAACATAGTGTTGGAAGTTCTAGCATCAGCAATCAGACAACAAAAGGAAACCAAAGGCATCAAAATTGGCAAAGATGAAGTCAAGCTTTCACTTTTTGCAGATGACATGATATTATACATGGAAAATCCAATAGACTCCACCAAAAGTCTGCTAGAACTGATACATGAATTCAGCCAAGTTGCAGGATACAAAATCAATGTACAGAAATCAGTTGCATTCTTATACACTAATAATGAAGCAACAGAAAGGCAAATAAAGAAACTGATCCCATTCACAACTGCACCAAGAAGCATAAAATACCTAGGAACAAATGTAACCAACGATGTAAAAGATCTGTATGCTGAAAACTATAGAAAGCTCATGAAGGAAATTGAAGAAGATATAAAGAAATGGAAAAACATTCCATGCTCATGGATTGGAAGAATAAATATTGTCAAAGCTACCCAAAGCTATCTACACATTCAATGCAATCCCAGTCAAAATTGCACCAGCATTTTTCTCGAAGCTAGAACAAGCAATCCTAAAATTCATATGGAACCACAAAAGGCCCCGAATAGCCAAAGTAATTTTGAAGAAGAAGACCAAAGCAGGAGGCTTCATAATCCCAGACTTTAGCCTCTACTACAAAGCTGTCATCATCAAGACAGCATGGTATTGGCACAAAAACAGACACATAGACCAATGGAATAGAATAGAAACCCCAGAACTAGACCCACAAACGTATGGCCAACTCATCTTTGACAAAGCAGGAAAGAACATCCAATTGAAAAAATAGTCTCTTTAACAAATGGTGCTGGGAGAACTGGACAGCAACATGCAGAAGAATGAAACTAGACCACTTTCTCACACCATTCACAAAACTAAACTCAAAATGGATAAAAGACCTGAATGTGAGACAGGAAACCATCAAAACCCTAGAGGAGAAAGCAGGAAAAGACCTCTCTGACCTCAGCCGTAGCAATCTCTTACTCGACACATCCCCAAAGGTAAGGGAATTAAAAGCAAAAATGAACTACTGGGACCTTATGAAGATAAAAAGCTTCTGCACAGCAAAGGAAACAACCAACAAAACTAAAAGACAACCAACGGAATGGGAAAAGATATTTGCAAATGACTTATCGGACAAAGGGTTAGTATCCAAAATCTATAAAGAACTCACCAAACTCCACACCCGAAAAGCAAATAATCCAGTGAAGAAATGAGCAGAACACATGAATAGACACTTCTCTAAAGAAGACATCCGGATGGCCAACAGGCACATGAAAAGATGGTCAATGTCGTTCCTCATCAGGGAAATAGAAATCAAAACCACACTCAGATATCACCTCACGCCAGTCAGAGTGGCCAAAATGAACAAATCAGGAGACTATAGATGCTGGTGAGGATGTGGAGAAATGGGAACCCTCTTGCACTGTTGGTGGGAATGCAAATTGGTCCAGCCACTCTGGAAAACAGTGTGGAGGTTCCTCAAAAACTTAAAAATAGACCTACCCTACGACCCAGCAATAGCACTGCTAGGAATTAACCCAAGGGATACAGTAGTCCTGATGCATAGGGGCACTTGTACCCCAATGTTTATAGCAGCACTCTCAACAATAGCCAAATTATGGAAAGAGCCTAAATGTCCATCAACAGATGAATGGATAAAGAAATTGTGGTTTATATACACAGTGGAGTACTACATGGCAATGAGAAAGAATTAAATATGGCCCTTTGTAGCAACATGGATGGAACTGGAGAGTTTTATGCTAAGTGAAATAAGCCATACAGAGAAAGACAGATACCATATGTTTTCACTTTTATGTGGATCCTGAGAAACTTAACAGAAACCCGTGGGGGAGGGGAAGGGAAAAAAATAAAAAGAGGTTAGATTGGGAGAGAGCCAAAGCATAAGAAACTCTTAAAAACTGAGAACAAACTGAGGGTTGATGGGGGGTGGGAGGGTGGGGCGGGTAGGTGATGGGTATTGAGGAGGGCACCTTTTGGGATGAGCACTGTGTGTTGTATGGAAACCAATTTGACAATAAACTTCAGATATTGAAAAAAAAAAGAACGTATTAATGCAAGTAAACTTCAAAAAAAAACCAAAACAGTTGTAATTGGGTAGTCCCAACAAGCTAAGCTAATTTTATTTAACATGCTCATTTTTTAATAAGGCCCAGTTGAAACCTGGGGGGTGATAACACCTAGATGTGTTGCCTAGGGTCATTTGTCCAGTTATTTCATTGCCGCTGAGTAGATTTCTTGGCCTGAAGAGGATGGCACCTAGGAAGAGGTGAGTTTTGGTCTGATGAGAGGGTCAGGTGGTTCAGGTAAGGTCAGATAGGATTCCTTCATAGTGCCTTTGGGCAGACTCAGAAATGGAAAATGGCTCAGAAACGGAAAATGAAGCATTTGAGCTTATCCAAAGGATATTCATTATATTTTTCTCCTAGAAAGTCTTATATTTTTCTTATATTATTGCTTTGCCCACCATCTCCTCTGTTGGCTAAGCTGGATAACTGAGAGTCAACCTTGGCTCTTCCTCATGACACCCTTTCCTCCCTCTAAACTCTCATGAAGTTCTGTCCATTTGCTCAGTTGACATGCATCAGTCAAGCTATCTCTTCTTCCCTTTCACATTTTTCCCTTTCTTCCAAGCTATTTTCCACAGAGTGTAAGAGTCAACTTTCTATAATACAAATTTGTTCATCACTCTGTGCTTAAAAATTTCCATAGACTCCAAAGAGATACTAGATGAAATCCAAACTCCTTATAGTACACATCTCAAAATCTCACTTATGCCACCTAGACCATATCCTGTCTTATTTTCCCTTCTAGTATTCTGTGCTCTAACCATGTCCAACTACCGGCATATTCTCAAATGTGTAATTTTCTGTTATTCCTCTTTAACCTGTATATGTTGTTCTAAGTATGTTCTCTTTTTCATTTCTTATCCCATCTCCTTACATATATTGACATATTTTTTTTGAATTTTTAAAATTTATTGTCAAGCTAGCTAACATACAGTGTACACAGTGTGCTCTTGGTTTTGGGGGTAGATTTCTGTGATTTATCACTTACATAAAACACCCAGTGCTCATCCCAACAAGTGCTTTCCTCAATGCCTATCATCCATTCCCTCCCCCCACCCCCCACACACCATCAACCCTCAGTTTGTTCTCCACCTTCAAGAGTTCCTTATGGTTTGCCTCCCTCTCTGTTTGAAACTATTTTTTCCCCTTCCCTTCCCCATGGTCCTCCATTAAGTTTCTCAAGTTCCACATATGAGTGACATATAGTTTCAGGACAATCAGCCCTAGCCTCTTGAAGAAAATCATTCTTCTTGACTATCCACTTTGAAAGGGTGAAAAAAAGCTACTCTTTTTTGCCTCATTTTCCTCTATGCGTGTTCATTAATTTCTTTTCCTTCTTTTCCTCCTTCTCCATCACTTCCTCTCACTCTTTCTTCCCCCTCAGCTTCACCCTCAGCTTCCCCCTCCCCATCTCAGGGGTCTCCCACCTTTCTCTTCCACCTCTTCCTCCTCTGCCAGTTCCTCCTCCTCCTCCTCTCCTTCTTCCTCTTCTTCCTCTTCTTCTCCTTCAACTCCCCCCTCTTCCTCCTTCTCCTTCTTTTTCTTCTTCTCACAACTCTCATAATTGAGCAATTACTCTTCTGTCATCAATTTATCAAGTATTTATTGAGTACCTACTATGTGTCAAAAGCTGTCCTAGGTGCTGTGTATATAGTAATGAGAAAACTGGGTATAGTTCCTGCCTTCATGGAGTCTAGAGTATGAGAGAGACAAATCTTAAACAACCAATGACAGTAAAATTACAAATTAAAATATATGATAAAAACAAAAGAATAGGGAATTAGAGGAAGAATAAAAGTAGGAGGACACCTGCTTTACACTAAGGGAAAGCATTTACTGAGAAGGAGACATTTAATATGAGACTTGACTGATGAGTTTCTCAATAAATGATCTTTTGTTTTATTAATTGTTTCCCTATCACTTTCTGTTTTCTATTTAAGTGATTTCCTCTCTTATCTTTATTATTTCCTTTCTTCTGCTTATTCTGAGTTTCATTTCTCTTCTTTTTCTAGTTTCTTAGGCAGGAAGCTGAATTTTTTTACTTGAGACCTTTCATCTTTAGGCAATTTTTTAGTACAAATATTCTTCTAAATATTTCTTTATCTGCATCCTGCTATTTCTGAAATGTGCTTTTATTTTTATTTTATTTAAAGTTCAAAATGCTTTCTAATTACCTTTTTTTCTTTGATCCGCAGGTTATTTAAACACGTGTTAACACGTTTCCAAGTATTGGGTGACTTTCCAGATAACTTTCCATTATTTTTTCATTATTTAATTCCATTGTGGTCTGAGAGTATACTTTGTTTGAGACTTATTTTATGGCTCAAAATATGGTCTATCATGGTAAATGTTCTGTGTGCACTTGAAAAATGTGTATTCTGTTGAAGTTGAATGGAGTGTTTTATAAATATCAATTAGGTAAAGTTGGTTGACAATGTTATTAAAATCCTGTATGTCCTTACTGCTTTTCTGTTTACTTGTTCTACTGATTATTGAGAGCAGTGCTGAAATCTCTGAGTATGATTGTAAATTTGTATGTTTCTCTTTGCAGTGCTACTGTATGTATTTTGAATCTCTCTTATTAGAGGAATACATTTTTAGAATTATACTGCAATGTAGGTGATCTCTAGGGGTTAAACTGTTTCTTCTGCATATACCATCTCTGGCTGATATAATCATATTTAAAATTTCAGTTGTAATCAATACCTCACATTTCCAACTTCTTTTTGGATAAGTCTAATTGGGTATCATATGAGTGTCTCAAATACAGCATTACACAAACCAAGCTTGCCATCTCCCTAAATTTGCCCACTTCCTGTATTCTTCATATTAGTTAACAGTGACTAATTTAGCACTTAAAAGAAGCCACATAAGTTGTCTTAAACAAGACATTGAATATAAAAGACATTTGAATAAGGGCAGCACAGAGCTAGTGTAAAAGTATGGTGGTCTTCAGGAAACCAATGTACTTCTATTTTTGTGTTCCTTCACTCTTAAAAATGTGGATTCCAAAAAAAAAAAAATGTTGATTCTATTACATTATTATCTCATGATCCAAGATGGCTGTTGGAGCTCTAGACATCACGTCCAGGTTCCAAGTAGGGTATAGGAAAAAGGAATAGAGGGGCCAAAAATGTGCACACCAATTGTTTTTTTAAGAAACTCTCCTGGAAGTTCCACTTAATAACTTCTACTAATGCTTGATGAACAATACTCATGGTAACACTGAGTTGCCAGAGAGACTGGGAGACTTAATCTTTTAGCTGGGCATATTGCTACCCTGAATGAAATTGGGGGTCTGTGACTAGGGAAGATAGGGAGAGTAGATAGTAGATTGGTAGTATCCCAAGCCCAATAATTTCCTTAGAGGGATATCTAAGACTCATCCTCAGTTCCTCTTTCTCTCTCCTTTCACATCTAAGCAACCACTCATACACTCACTATCCAACATCTGTTCTTTAATTATGGCATCTTGGATCCATATACTACATTAAAAAGTTGACAGTGTTATGGAAAAAGAAAGAGTTCAGTGGGAATTGGGAAAAACTGACATTTGAGCACACTTCAAGGAGATGAAGAAGTTATCTGTGTATATGTGGGGAAGGGCATGGCATACAGAGGGAATCTGTGATCTTTGAATATGTATGTACACTCACTCACACCACACATCCTTATGCATACCTTACACAGAGTAGATGCTCCTTGAATGCTTATTAAAGATTAGTGAATACACACACACACACACACACACACACACACACACACATTTTTGTGCACATGATAATGGAAAATGGGAAAACCAAACATTTCAATCTTCCTCTCCCTTAGCCAAATGGAAGATTTATTTACATGTTGATTTCTTATAGTTACATGATACCATTTTTTGTTTCTGAATTTACACCCAAAGAAACCAATTTTGGGAAGAAACCAAGAAAGGAAGTAATAGGAGGACATAGATAAAAAGGGAAAGAAGGCATAAGCAAGAGGAAACCTTTCTTCCTGCCCTCCTGGGTCTAGAATGTAGTCCCAGATAAGGTTGAGAGGCTAGGGCAACAGCAGTATGCAGTGAAGAACTGTGGGAGTACCTGAGGCAGATCTGGGTCATACTTGGCCCTTGGCCAGTCCCCGGAGGTTGTCTGACCTGCTGGGCATCCTGGGAAGCAGTCCCAGGCAGTTTCTGCTTTGCTATGCCTGCTGGTTCTGCTGCCATTTGGCCCACGGAACACCCAGGAGAACAATTCTCTCCCTGAATTTTTCTGCCATCTGCTCTACATCCTACCAATGATCAAGTGTGGCAACCTGTGAGCATCCAGAATCATGTCTGCTTGATCTTTAATTTAATTTACCATTGAGACATCTCCATACCATAAATGGGAAACCTTGTGGTAGGAAATTGATCAAACCATGAAGATGGACACTTCTTATCCATCCATGTTTTGTCATTGTTAATGATGCTTGATTCTTATGGGTTTATCTGAGATTTGTGAAGAAAAATGAGCAATGAACCAGGAGCAGGGCTGCTCCATTCATCTAGAACAATATATATCAGACTTCTAGACCTAAATGGAAAGATAGGACCAGTACAACAGGAGGTGTGGAGATGACACATCACAGGACTGACCACAAAGTAAAATATACTAAAATCTCATGTTCTATATTAAAATTCCTTGCAAATTATGTATAATCCTGTAAGTCAGCATACTTTAATATAAAAAAAAAAAAAACCTTGGACTTGTTTTTAAACCAAATAAAAATTTAATTCCATCTTCCCCTAAATCTTCTGGTGCAACTGCTGCTCAGGAATATGTGCTCTAGGTTTATTTATAGACTGAAATATCCTGGAATATCTTTGCTATCTCAAGGGGAAAGCTAATTCTAAGTGGAGAAGCATATATGTCTGAATCTTTCGAAAGATCCAATTCTGGGGACCAAAGTGAAGGGAGTTTTGGGTGAGTCCTCATTAAATGTCATCTCGTTGTCCCTGGTTCTGCTTCGGTTCACTTAAGTTCGCAAGATGTGGTTGGTCATTCTACAGGCAAAGATAGAGGAGGTAAAAATTGAGAGCACTCAAGACAAACTAAATACAGTCATTTCTCTTCTCAATATTCCAGGCTTCACTGACAACCATTAGCTGTTAATTAGACATTTTACAAAAATCTGTATATTTAAGTGCCCACATGTTTGGAGACCATCAGGTTAC